TCCCTTCCCTTCCCTTCCCTTCCCTTCCCTTCCCTTCCCTTCCCTCTCACGGCGGCTCTCTCCGCAGACGAACGCGCCCAGCCCGTGACCATGGAGGCCGGAGACGCGGCAGCGCTGGCGAAGCGCGGCACCTTGCCGCCCCGCGCCAAGGTGAGCGACCCGGAGCCGGAACCAGAGCCGGGCGGACCCGGGTCTCCCTCCGAACGACATCTGCTTCCCCCAAGCCCTGCCCGAATCTTCCCGTTTTTCCTTCCTAAGGGCGTCCAAATCCCCCTGCTTTTCCCTCCTAACGGTGTCCACTTCCCCCAAACGCTTACCGAATCACCCTGGTTTTCCCTCCTGACAGCGTCCGAATCACCCTGGTTTTCCCTCCTAGCAGTGTCTGCTTCCCCAAACCCTGCCCAAATCCCTCACATCCTCCTGGTTCCCCCACCTAACAGTATCTGCTTTCCCCAAACCCTACCCAAATCCCCCAAATCCTCCCGTTTTTCCCTCCTAACAGTGCCCATTTCCCCCAATCTCTCCCCAAATCCTCCAGGTTCTCCCTCCTACCAGTGCCCATTTCCCCCAAACCCTCCCCAGATTCCCCACATCCTCCTGGTTTTCCCTCCCAGCAGTGTCCGCGGTGTCCTAGCAGTGTGTAACTGGTGCTCCCTCGTTAGCCCCTGCTTGGTGATTGTGCAGCCAGGGAGGGAGCGGAGCTGCTGCGGCTCCCTGCGCCGCTTTGCGGCTCGGCTGGCTCTGCAGAGCGGGAATTCATTTCTTGTTCCATCTCTCTGCCCAGTTCTTACCCAACAAGATCGGCAGCTTCTCTTGTCCTGCTGGGAACGCGTCGCGCGCCCTCAGTTACAGCCCCGGTAAGACAGACACTTCCTCTTGTTTTTCCTTCCAGCATCGTGGGGAGGAAGCTCTTTGACTGTTTTTATTTCTCCCCAGCAGAAATTCCCTGTCCTGAGCCCTTCCCGACCGCCGGAGAGCCCCGGGCGTTCGGCTCCGGCGCCAACGGGCAGTGGAGGGGGCTGGTTCCCCCGCTGGGTTCGGCGCCGCTCAAGCCTCGAGCGAGCCGAGGCTCCTACCTGGAGTCCCGCAAAATCCCCAGGTGCGTCCGGCTTCCCCCAGGACCCTCTCTTGGCAACCCTAGGGGTGTTTGGAGATTCATTTTCTTTTCTTTTTAACTCTCTGCAAATTAATTTGGTGCTGAAAATGGTTGCGTAGGTCAGGGTTGCTCCCAGGAGTTGAAATGGTGAGGGGCAACTTGCCTGGCCTGGACACTGATAGTGAAACAGGCTGGGTTTGAGTCCCTCTGAAAACACCCTCCCTTTTTAAGCTGCCTGTTGCAGCTGCCTTGACGAGGGCAGTAGGAGAAGGCAGAACTCTGTGCTTTTGTATGGGAAAGAATGGTTTGTTCTCCACATGGCCGATGCAAAGCTCTTTTCTGAGCCCTTGGTGGGAGGGCTGAATTTTCTGCAGATCAACTGAGCTCAGAAACAGCCTGGAGGGTCCGACCCGTCGCTGCTGGGAGCGTCTTTGGGAAGCTCCGCACAGCGGTGGCCACGATGGTCAAGGAGGGCGACGAGCAGCCCCGCTCGTGGGTTTGTGCCGAGGCTGCGACTGTTGGGACAGCAGTCAGGAGAGAAATAGCCCCCTGTGCTGGAGCTGGGCCCGGAGCGCACGGTGACAAATACAGCGCTCGTTGCTCACAGCGTGAGGAATTCCTTTCCGCGGGAGAAATTCCAAAGCCAGCAGCGTGTTTTTAACAGGCTAGTGGGTAAACCTGCCCTGAGCAGGGAGCAAGGTAAGGGAGAGTGTCCCTTTATTTTTCCCAAGGAATGTGCTCTGCGTCTCCAGGTGAAGTTCAGCCATTTTGTATACTGTGGATCCGGAGACAGGGAAGAGCGGTTGGATCTGGCGGGAAGGGCTCCGCCACTTTCCCGACCGTGCTTCCCCGGCCTCGCAGTGCCACCTGGTGGCACCTCTTTGGCCGCACAAGCATCACCCGCTCGCTGGTGTCACGAACACTGGCAGATCAAGCTGACAGAGAGCTAGATTTAAGCCTTGCAATAGCGTAAAAAGCTAGTACAATAAGCTAGTGTCTCACCAAAGCTGGATGGCCTGGACCTTGGCTATGTTTGAGGGACAAGAGGGGCGGAATTCCGCAATCCAACAAGCCTGAAATGAAGGAAATCCTTTTGCTTCTGTCTTCACAGTGGGGCATCCAACAGTTTTGTAGGGAAGTCCAACCACCACTGCCATGCGTCGGCGTTCCCGATCAAACCTGCGCAGAGCCCCTCCTGGAGCGGCCCGTGCCGTCGTGGTCTGCTTAGCCCCAAGAAAACGCCGAGGCGACCCGTCAGTACGGCTGAAGAGGTAAAAATAAGGCTGGGGGCTGATTCGGATGCTTTGCTTTCCAAGTCTTCTTTCCTGAGCGTCGTGAAGAGCTCGAGGCGGGTAAAAGTGCCTTAAATGGCTTTGCTTGCTCCTTATATGAGGCAGAAAGTGGCTCCTGCTCTGTATGGACACCTCAGGCTGCACTTAGTTTGATCTTAGCTGATTGTTGAACTCCATGCGATTCCTGGATGTTCCTGCACCTTAGTATTTATCGTGTCTTTGTGTAAAATCGTGTTGGCCAGAGGTGTCTGGTTGTTTCCCTGCAGACTGTTCGGGAGGAAGAGCGAGAGATCTACAGGCAGTTACTTCAGATGGTGACAGGAAAACAGTTCTCCACGGCCAAACCTTCCTCACTGCTCCCCTTCCGCCTGTGCGTATCTAAAATACACCCTTCCAGCTGCCAGGGCTGCAGGGCTATGTTGGAAACTCCCTCTCCCGTGTTCCTAGGTCCAGATGTTCCGATTCCAGTAAAACCTTCATGAAAGAAACTCCCGCCCCGAACTCGAGCCTGTTTGAAGCTCACAATATTGCACCAGCCAGTTCAGCAGCCAGCACTCTCCGAGCACAGGAGCAGCTATCTCCTAAACCATCACTCTACTCAGCGTCTAATTATCCCTCAAGCATCTTCGAGTCTAATAACGCCCCAACCCAACATCACCCGGAAAATCTACCAGCATCTAGCACACAGTCTGAAGGTACCAAAACAAACACTTGTTTTTTCCATGCTGCGCTGAAAGTTTTACAGCAGTTTGGGAAGCTGGTGATAATCCTGAGGGTAACGTTGTTTTTTAATCTTGCCCTCTCTAGGGTCAGACTCTGTCATTTTGCTCAAGGTAAAGGACCCCAGAACTCCAGCTCCAAGGTAAGAGACTGTAAAGCTGGGATGTGTAGGAGTTTTTGGATGGGATTAAAAGGTGACCAATGATTCTTTGTGTGCCTCACGAGGAGAGAGCAGTTTGCCGTAGCAGTGTACGGAAGCTCATGCATTATTGGTCTGAATTTGATGCATCACACCTTTCTTGAGAGCTAGCGAATTACTGACAGATCTGCCTGAAGCTTTTACCATCTGTCCAGGACTTGGGGTGTCTAGCTCCTGCTTATAAATTAGTTTTCAGGCAATTACCTACTCTAAGTGTGAAGAAAAGCATTCAAACGTGTCTTTTTCTGTCCCTTTTTAGCCTCCCATTCTTCCAGGCAGAACTGTGGATCAAAGAACTGTAAGTGCATGTTGGCGCTATTTGATTTTTCTTGTCTTTTATCATTTGCTTACCATTTAAATAGACTTTTCTCAACCTTGGAATTACATTCACAAAAGTATCCTTCCTTTTTAGGGATTTTTCCCTTAGGTAAAATAAAAGTGAGTGACATAGTCTCTAGAAGCCTTGGAGTCTTAGGCTTAAATTCTTGTGTAGGCCAGTGTCTTCTCTACCCCTAGTTCTGCAGTTAATTCTGTTTCCTGCTCCTTCAGCATCTGCCAGAACTGAAATTGCTCCTCCCTGTGGGGCTGCAGTGAGAGATACGGAGAACGGCAGGGAAAGGAAGGGTTTGTTGGACCTGTGCTGTAAGGAGCATCTCCATGATCTGTGCCGGTTAACGTGTGAGCTGAGCAGCAGTTGTAGCAATGAGAATTTCTTAGCACCTTTTGATTCCTGGTTGGAGGTTTCTTATTCCCTACAGCCACTGGAAAGCAGATGGCACTGATGCGGAATATCACATTTGGGTGTCGGGTGGAGTATTCCCAAGCTCCTTTCTTACCATTTTAGTGGATCTTTTTTTTTTTTTTTTTTTTTCTCCTGGCTGAGTGTGCTCACATGTAGAAAAAGGTTTTGATTTGCTCTAATAAACTTTGTTTTTCAGGACCAGCGTCTATGATTCAAGAGCTCGGGAGAGGTGGCGTCAAATCGAAGAGCAGAAAGCGCTGGCCTTGCAGCTGCAAAGCCAGGTAAGAGGGAGCAGTTCCCAGAAATGGGGTGGGCAAGTGAGAATCACAGAGCAAAACCCGATTTGGAGCTAGAGCAATGACAAAAATATGCTCCTTCATGCCCCAGGGTCTTTGTTTTTCCTTTCTCTGTGGCAGGGCTCTCTGTGGTGCTATTGCCAAAGTAAATGCTGCCCCTCTTCCGTGCCCTTTTCCACATCTTCTGGACCAAGTGGTTCCATGCAGCTGCCTCGTAAGCCCCCACACAGGCAGCTCTCTTGGACATGTTGTAACCTGAAGGTCTCTCTCTCAGCGACTGCAGGAACAGGAGCACTCAGTGCAAGATCTGGTGGATTTAAATCTTCGCGTTCCCCTTGAGAAGGAGATTCCTGTCACAGTGGTCCCAGAAGAGAAAGAAGATGCTAAGTCAGCTGATGGTGAAGAGGAATTCCCTGAAATCACTGAGGTAAGTCCACTTGGATCTAGTGGACAAAAACAGATACTTGGGTGCATGATATGAGTCTAACTGTGCAGCTAGAGAGTGCTGTAGCTCAAGTGACAGCATGAGTTGCGTGGCCTTTTTGAGCCTGCTATTTAGCAGGTGGGACCAGAGGACCAGACAAGTAATTCCTGGCTCTTGGAATCTGAGCCTGAGGTCTATCAGAGAAGTTTAGGCAAAATAAAGCTGGAGCGCATGTCGTGTGCACTGCTAATGCCTCGAAATCTCTGTATCCTTCAAGGAGAAAAGAGTAAGTCCGTGGTTGATTCTAGCTTTTGTTATGGGACTGTCAGGAGCTCTCACTTCATTGGTGTTTGTTCATTGTAGGAAATGGAGAAAGAAATAAAGAATGTATTCCGAGGTGGGAACCAGGATGAGGTCCTCAGCGAGGCTTTTCGGTTAACAATCACTCGGAAAGACATTCAGACCCTCAATAACCTGAACTGGCTCAACGATGAGGTGAGGAGTCCCCCTTGTGCCCTTGAGGCATCCTTGTGTTAAAGTGAACGGCGTGTTAAGGTGAGCAGACGCTTGTCTCCTCCTTGGGTAGGGATGTCAGAGTGATTTGAGGATGGCAAGTGCACTCCTCTTGGTGCTGTGGAGCATTTTGTCTCCTTTTGCCAGAATATGGCACTTGAAATAAAAAGAAATGAGGAGTGGGACTGCCCCTGTACCTGATGAGGGCAGAAGTTTCAAATCCTCAATGTGCACAACTGTATTTCGAAGTCATTTTGGACCTGTGGAGCTTTCAGGGCTGCTATCTACTGTAAAGCTCCCCACCATTGGTCTTCAGAGTGACAGATGGAGCGAGAAGTAGCTTCTTGCCTGCCTTTCTGCATGTGCAGAGTGCTCCTTGCGGAGGTGTTGCCAACCTAATGTGCCGTGGATGCTTTTTCTTCCCCAGATAATAAATTTCTACATGAACTTGCTGATGGAGCGGAGCAAAGAGAAGGGATTGCCAACAGTTCATGCATTCAATACCTTCTTCTTCACCAAATTAAAAACGGCCGGGTACCAAGCAGTGAAACGGTGGACTAAAAAAGTGGATATCTTCTCTGTGGACCTTCTCTTGGTGCCTATTCATCTGGGAGTGCATTGGTGCCTAGCAGTGAGTGTCTTAAAGTTATTCATAGTAGAAAGAAGCTGGAGGGGATGATAAACTCTGTGCCTGAACCTAAAATCTTGTCGTGCTTGAGTGAAACAGCTGTCGGATATTTGTGCAGGGGGAGGAAATTCAAGTCTGTAGCTAGAGTCATATTCTAGAATGAGCAAAAAGAGCTGTACTTTTTTTTGTGTGTGTGTCTTTATAGCCTTTAAAAGACTTCTTAAAAAAGAAAAAAAAAAGAAGAAAAACCAGAAGTTCACCTAAAGCTTGTGTATTCTCTAGAGAAAGATCTCATTTCCCCGCTCCCACAAACTCCGCTTTAGAGGTGGTGCCACAGGATTGTTTTGGAAAGATTTAAAAGATGGATAAATTAAAGCCAGCCCTCTCCACCTCGTGGCCCGGTTTTGTTATGTCTCTCCTCTGCTGGCACCTGTGCAGCAACAAATTGCACGTGGCCTCTCCGTTCGCAGCAGCCTTGTTAGCTCCCATCTCCTCATGAGGATGTTAAGCTGCTCTGAAAGACGCTGGTGGGCAGTGATGTGAAAACGTGGCAGGGGGCTGCGAAGAAGAGCCCGGAGGGGACACGAATTTCTTGAAGCACTTGTCTGTGTTAAGGCAGGTGGAGCAAGCCCTTTCTGTAATTCTATCTGTCAGCCTGAGCCTTTAACAACAGGGCTAACAGGGCTCTTGTGTTTTGCTGGGGTGTTCTGAGGAGAACCTGATTTAGAGATTGAAGTAGTGCAGCAGCGAGGGGGGCGGTTGGGAGGAGGTCCCTCGGGTGCTGAGGGGCTGAGAAGGCCTTGAAAACCCTTCGTCTCCCGAAGGGAATCGCTGTAAGTGGCATAAACTTCACTTTGGACAGGAGCAAGGCTCTGAAAGGCGTGCGTCCTGGCAATGAGCCGAGCTCCCCTTGCCTGTTGCGTTATTAACACACCTCTCTTTATGTAGGTTGTAGACTTCAGGAAAAAAAGCATCACCTATTATGACTCCATGGGTGGAATAAACAGTGAAGCCTGCAGGATACTGTTGTGAGTAGCCCTTAAATTTGAGTTATGTTCAGAAACAGACAGCTTCGTGGTTTGCCCTGATTGTGAAGTACAAACCTTTGGTGGTACCAGTCCCTTTCTGGGTCCCGACAGGAGGGAGAGATCATAGGAACCTCTCAGTTCTTGTGCTTTATGTTTCATCCTGTGTTGCTGACACATTCCACAATAATAAAGGCATTAGGTCTGCAAAAGAGCCATGTATGGAAGCTCTGTCTTCATATTTCCAGAAGATCCCTCCATGAGGCTCGTGGTACCTCCGTAGGCTTAGCCAGGTTGCAGAGCTGTCTGCTAAAGACACCAGGCTTTACCCATCTGTTGTGGCAGCCTCGTCTCGAGCATCTTCAGGAGGAGGAGAGCAGCTTTTCAGAGCCTCGAGAGCAGGGGTTGGTCACTAGTCCTGCTGCCACTTCAAGAAGCGGCATCTCCTGCCCATCTCTTGCTTCAGGGGAAAGCTTTCCCTGCCCGTGGCAAAGAACAGCTCAGTAACTTGGTGCTTTGGAGAAGCAGATTCTGGAGAGAGTGATGGTGAAGGTAGAGTTCAGAAGAGGCCCTTGCCTCGGGATAGAGGTTTGCACAGGTCTCTTCTATATTGAGTTCCACCAGAGTGCAACACGCCATGCTCTGCAGCCAGATGTGAGCTGGGGGAGCTTGTTCTTGCAAGCAGCAGCTATGGGTTTGTTTTGAGCTTGCTGAGCAGCAGCACGGGAGGCAGCGGGCTCAGCTGCCCACTCTGCGGCGCACGCGTGGAGCAGCATTGGCCAGTGAAACCCAAAAGTGACCAGCTTGAAATACTGCCCAGTGTCCCATATCCTGCATAGGGTATGCTTAAAAATGAGCTGTTTTCCCCGGTGGGGAGAAAAATCCTCCCCTTTTTGGAAGGTGTTAGTGGTGTAGGGCTGCTGGGCTTGGTGCAGATCAGATTCCAGAGTGGCTTGTGAAGAGCAGCCGGGAGCTCCTCACTCGCCTGGTGACCCTGGGTCACTGTCCGTTCTGCTTCTCGTCCCCGCTTTGTTCTGACGCTGCTTTTGGAATCTGATCTGCAGCTGCAAAGATCTTCTGGCCTGAGGTTGAGTGCGTGGAGGTGTCACTCAGTCAAGGAATGTTAATAATGATAAAGACAGACAGGAGACAAATGGCATTTCATCAATTCCAGTCTGTCTAGCGCCTTCCTTTTCCAGTTCAGGTGCTTTGCAGGCTGCGCATGCCAGGGTCATTTAACTGTTTGTATTTAAAAAAAAAGAAAAAAAAAAGTTTCTTTTCACCAGGGATCTGTTGCATTGGTGTGAAGTGGGAAAACTGAAGGGGAAAACAAGTTTTTGGGCAGAATCTGCCTTAGCTTTGCTGTGATGTTCTGCTCAAAGGGCTTTTTGAGAGCAGCGCGAGCAGAGCTGACGTGCCTTTGGGCAGGGGAGTTTAGGTGAGAGCAGTTCTTGCAGTTCCTGCAGCTGGAATTTCCTTGGTTGCAATGGAGACAGTGCAGGCAGCTGAAATGAGACACCTGGGAGGTGAGAGGGGGCCCCAGGAATCCTCTCCATAGTTGGCTCACGGGGCTCGGATGAGGCAGCAAGTCTCCAAGTCGGTAGCAGACAGCCCCGGAGGATACGAGGTGTATCCATCCGTGCAGGATGAGCTGTGGAGAGCCAGGATTTGGGGTCAGTCTTGCCCTGTACGTAATTGTTTTCCCTCTGTTTCCTTTTAGGAGGCTTTTATTGATTGAGTGCAGTGGGAGGATCACACCGGGAAGAAGGGACGGAGGTCCTATTCATGGTTAGTGACCCTTTCATGCTTTCAATCTTTAGAGCTTCCTAAAGGTGGTGAGTTTCTGATGATTAGCCCTCAATTACAGAGGAGGGAAACTGTGGCACGCGGAAGACAACACATTAAGCACTGGCCAGACTAGGAGCAAGCAGGGTCCATGGGTGTTTATGGCTTGACCTGCCTGTTGCAGTTTGATGTTATAGCTGGGACTCGCATGCGAGCCCTCTCGGAGCGGATTTGGGGAAACCCGACTCTGTTTTGCTGGGTTTGCTCCTTGGGAAAGGCAGTCCTCGGGATCTCAGCTCAGGGTTGGTTGTTTTGGATCAGGTTTAAACCAATCTGTTACAGTTAGTTAAAAATGTGATTTTAGGAGCCCAGAGCTTGGGGAGATCTCGGGGAATAGAGTGCAGTGAGTTTGCCAGGCCTCCGAAATCATCTTGTCTGCTGCTAGTAGCAAAACTTGTAGTGCTGTCCTTAATGTCGCCCTTAATTTCAAGGTTTTTAGGCATTCAGTAGCCTGTTACAGAGTCAATTTCAACGGCTCCTCTAGGGACATGGTCAGTCTTCCTGTGCGTATAAACCCTGCAAGAGGCAAAAAGTCCATTTTCAGATGTAGGAAAAATGAGATTAGAGGCTTGCAGTATTTGGCAGGAATCTTGGGTATGTTGGCTTTGGATTTGACCTGCAATTAGATTAAATTCTGCGTCACGTTTCTCGCTGAGGTCCTGACAGAGCCCATCAGGGGCAATTAAATTCTGCCACCCTAAATGGTCTCTCAGTTTGAAGTGAACTCATTTTATCTTTCAGTCCCCTCCAGAAACCACTTGGTACCTAAGCAGGATTGGGACTGTAGATACCTGGCATTAATCAGTGTTTATGCATGGGCTAGATCTGCAGAGGTTATTTATAGGAAGCCACACAGGTGACGGTGACAATTAATGCAGCTATGCAGAGCGACTTAGTTCTTTGCTGCCTTAGCAAACAGCCCCAAATGTCCTGGCTCGTGTCCGTGGGTCAGCATTTGCAGAGGGAATTGGCCATGTAGGAGGCTCCCGATGGCTTTATCCACCACCAACCCCTTCTCTCTGTGTTCGGAATCTCGTGCCGGGCTCCAGCTGCCCTGGTGCTGTTTGTGTGGACCCAATCCACGTGGAAACGTCGCTTTGGAGGCTGATGCCGGGCTCTCCCGTGAAGCTTCCCTTTATTTATCTGTGCAACTTGGCCACCGTCTAGCTTGACAGGCAGAACAAAGTGGGCTCTGTGACGCTGCTCTTTTCTTAATTGGACACTCGCAGGGCTTCTGTGACGGGCAGGAGTTGCCAGGGTCTCCCTTTCTTTGCGGTTGAAAGGAGGCCATTAACTAATTAATGTTTCTGCAGGGGTTGCATTGCGGTGCACATAGTTTGCTCCCTTCCACCGGTCACCCAGCCAGAACTGGACACTCAGCCCGCCCTTATCTTGAAGTCCTTGTAAGGGGCTTCTTTTCCATCCATTAGCTCTTTTTTTGGAGAGGAGATAGGGAGGCTTCTCGCTGGTGCTGAGAGGGTCGTGCGGTTTGGTTTTGTTGTTCCCGTGTCGAGCTTGTCTTGTCCGAGCAGCAGCAGAGTCGGAGCAGCTGCTGCCCGAGAGCAACGACGGTGACCGTGGAGCCCTCGCGGGAAGCTGGGCTCAGAACAGGCGTCGTCCGACAAAGACTGACGGAAAACACTGATCTGGGACCGGTCAGGGGGTTGCCGGAAGGGAAGCTCTCCCTTTGCTCTCCCATATTCAGCAAATCCTACTTCTGATGAGTTTTTAGAGGGACGACCTGCTGGTTCTTGCCCAGGTCTGTGCAGCTTTTCGTCCAACGTGTTTCAAGCACTTCAAGCTTTCCTCCAGTAACGTACATATTACGTACGTACGATACGTAGCGTACCATAATCCAGAGGTCTTAATTAGAGTTAGGATGCAAAGATTCCCCAGCTTGGCACCCAGGCAGCCACTCGGGACCCTCCCTCGCTTGGGTTTGCGTGTGGGTCCCATCACCCTTGTGCTCCGTCTCGTTTCAGGGGTTATTAACAGTGCGATGCCACTTAGCCAAGTCTCAGGGGATCAGGTTTCTGCAGGATGGCAGATGTCCCCGTGCTGGCAGCCAAACCCACCTTCCTCCCCGCTTCTCTCTGTGCCAAATGCTCTTTTGACCCATCCCTTCGAGCCAGCAGCGTTTAATGCCCTGCTTTTCCTCTCTGAGCGTTCTCGTCACAGCCGCAACAGTGAGAAGAATCCTCGAGCTGTTTTGAGAGGCTGCCAGCCTTGAAGATGACTTTGGTAGATCTGTCCAGCTCTTTTGTACCTAGGATTAACAGAGGGCATCTGAAAGGCTGAACACCACTTAGTGACGCTGGTAGGTGACAGAGAGAGGCTCCTTTGAGGCCACTGAGAACGTTCTGACACCACCACCACGTCTCTTGAGGCTCCCCCAGCTCCTGCCTTTGTGGCTGTCCCCATCTCGGGCTCCTTGTAGGCACCAAATGGCTCAAGGGCTTCACCCGCAGAGGAGAGAGCGTGGCCTTGGCGTGCTCCGTGCGTGGAGCGTGGCGTGATGGAATTCCTGATTTTTTTTTTCCTGGAGATACTGATCTTAGCTTAGAGGAAAAGCAAAATCCTGCCTGCCTGCCCAACGGGGTGATTCAGGCTGAGCTGGCAGAAGGTGTGATGATACCTGTGAGCCCTTCTGCAAGGGAGGAAGGGTGGCCAGGGCGCTCTCACCCCCTTGCTCTTCACTTGTGGGCTGTGGAATGGGGCCATTAGCCTGTTTTTTCCATCTCCACCTTCTCTTTATTGCATTGTTTCGTTCGTTTGTGATCTCCCAACAGCTCCAGACTTGCGTTGGCCATTGAAGAGGGAGGATTTTCTCTCTTTCCTGCTCTTGGTTTGATTCTTTCCTGAGCTTTGACTCAGCTGCTCTACGAGTCAGGGATGGTTGTGGTGGCGCTTTTCCCATTCCCTCCTTCCACAATTCTTGGATTATATTTGAGAAAATCAGGGTCCCAGGGTCCAAGTTCCCCATCTTGGCCCTGTTTGAAAACACCGTCAAACTGCTCTGCTAAGGAAGACTGAAGCGAGTAGTGAAAGGGAGCTCTGGGGGAAAACCTGCCCACGTGTTCAATCTGCCACCACACTGAGGAGTTTCGTGATGTCCCCGTGTGCTTTACACAAGGGACAATGTCACAGAGCTGCTGGGATGCTCTTCAGTTTATCACATAGTTGCTACTGGCTCCATCTGTGGTAAGTTAGATCCTCGGAAGACAAGAGCCATTAATCCAGAGGAAGCAGTCACGGACCAAGTTCCCCGCTCTGGTCTCTCCGCTCTGCTCACAGAAGCCTCTTGAGGCAGCCCGGGGGCTGCAGAGCTTTTCTCTGCTGTGAGTCACTCTCAAATAAATCAGATTTGTTCTCACTGGTTTATTTGTGGTTTTGACTCTTTGCTTGGCAGGTATTTTTTTTGGGATGAGTTTTTGAGTTCTGCTTGAGCCTCCTTTTGATTGCCTAGGGCTCCTCAAAGGATGGATCTGTAGAGCCCTTTGGAAATGGCCAGGACTGAGAAGAAAATATTGGACTTCCATTTTGCATTAAATCTGCAAACACGTCTGAGGACGTTTTAGGTTAAACTGACGTTGCACATACTGGACCGCGGCTGGTTTTCCTTGTCCCTCTAAGCAAGCTTTTCTGTTCTCTCCTTCCTACAGGCAATACTTAAAACAGGAAAGTCTTGACAAGAAAAGGAAAGAATTCGACACCAATGGCTGGTCCTTGCTGAGTAAGAGGAGTCAGGTGGGTTTGTGCAGGAGGGTCTGGAGGGAAGACTCAGTTTTGGGCCTTGCTTTTGTTCTGGACCTGGATAAACCCAAACCCATCCTGGGCAGTTGTACTGCTGGTGAAATGTTGTTACAGGTTCTGGGGAGGGGTCCCTGCTTCTTGATGGCCCCTGCTCCTCTAAAAATGTGGCTCTTTTGGGGTTTCCTTACAGGAGATCCCGCAGCAGATGAACGGCAGCGACTGTGGCATGTTTGCCTGCAAATACGCGGACTGCATTACCAAAGACAAGCCCATCAACTTCACACAGGTAGATCCGGCACCCGTTTTGAGCACAGGCCACAAGCTGGGGTCTGCTGGCAGTGTTTTTCCCCACCGGCTGTGTAAAAATACCAAAAAAACCTGCATGTCCTCTATTGTACCCAAAAAACCTGCATGTCCTCTGTTGTACCCAAAAAACCTGCATGTCTTCTCTTGTACCCAAAAGCACAGGACCAGTGCAGTTTCCAGTAGCTCACAAAGCTATAGTTTCCTATATAGATGGAACCAAGTAAAGCTGGGAGTGAAAACAGAGCAGGAGAGCTCAAATCCAAGGTGATTTCAGTGCTGCGTAACATGCCCAGCCTCCATGGAATAATCCTATATGGATTTTTATTTCCGGTTGTTAGGGAATGGCATCAAGCTGTGTCACTACCTAGATCTCATGTTTTCCGCTGTCCTTTTTCAAACAATCTGAAAGCAAAATCCCCCAGGAAAGCAGCATTTGTAAACAATTATACCTAGGAACGCGACTGTTAGATGCGTGGTCCGATGTGCTAAATGTTTCCTGTCTCCTCTCTCTTTCCTCCACCCACAGCAACACATGCCCTACTTCCGAAAGCGAATGGCCTGGGAAATCCTCCACCGCAAGCTGTTATGATGCCGATGAGAGCGGATTCCTTGAGAGATTGTAACAGAAGTGCCCAGATTTCCCCTGCTCCGTGGCCAGAGCTGCGACGGGCCTGGACCTGCCCGGGGGTTCAGTCAAAGAAACCGCAGATGAACTCTGTATGATTATTTTTTGATAAAGCATCAGTCACGGACCAATGCGCACCGGAAATGTTCAGAAGCACACTTGCCTTTTTTGGTTGGGTTGTTTTTTTATTATTTCCAAACCTATTTTTACAAGCCATTTGAGGTGCTGAGACTCGAGGGGGGCTGCTTTGGACTTTCGAGGAACTTGTTCTGCTTTTCCTCAGCTCTTGCCGGCGCCTCCGAGCTGGCGGCGTGACCCTATGCAGGGGGAGGGCTGGATTCCAGGGGCAGGGAAGGCACTTGGGCGGTTCTGAGCGCCGGGAGGGCTCTGCTCCGCGTTACCTCGCGTGAGGGAAGGCTGAAGGTCTCCCGAGGCAAGGAGGCTTTGCCCTTGGGGATCGCCCTGTTCATAAAACCAGCATGTCACAAGTGGCTGCTCCTGGATTTCCAGCACTTGGGTGGTAGGAAGTGACACGAAGGAGGCATGTCGTTGACGGAAACAGCCTGGAGAAGCAACTCTCAGGAGCAGCGTTGGCTTTTTGGTGTGTCCTCTGCAGCTGCCCCCTTTTGTATCTCCCACTCTGTCCTCAAGCCAGCGTTTTTCACCCAGCCCAGGCTCTGTCTGCTGGCACCACCCAGAGCTTGTCACCTACTTGTTGCTTGTGCCCTCGGGGGCACCCGGGGCAGATGGGGTGTCCTGCAGGTGCATAAAGCAGGACCCAGGTGACCGGTGCCACTCACTCGTGGCCGTTGGGTGACGTTTCCCCAGAATCCCTCTCCCACCCCCGAGATTCATCTCCAGTTCTTTAGCATCAGGTGTTTACGCAGTTCAGGTACAAACTTGACTTATGGTAGCATAGAGTCAATGCACCCGTGGATGCTTTGCACTGCCTGCTTGCTTTTCCCTGCCGAGTGACAACGAGCCAGGTTTTCCGAGTGCTTTTTCTGCCCTCGCTTTACGTCCCAGCCAGACCAGGGATTCCTGCCCCCGGTGGAGCACAATGGATATAAATCGCTCCGGGTCATCCCTCTTCTCCGTGACACTTTGCACATGTTTCCCCGTGGGGAGGGGGAAGGCTGATGCAAGGTCAGAGGTTGCCTTGGAGCCAGGCATCACGTTGGAATCCCGAAGTGCTTCCAAAGGTATCCTTAAGTACATCCCTCCAAGCACCTTCAGTGTCTGTCTCCTGGGAGCCTTGAGGATTAGGGACGCGGGGCTGAGCCACTCAAAAGTAAAATGCTCGGAAGCACTTAAACTGCCCCAAGGTGGGATTTTTTTGGAGGCCGCGGCGGCCTCGATGCTTTGGAACGTTTTAGTGCGAGCGCCTCCTCCCAGGCTCTCCGGAGTGTATCCCACCCGCCTTTGCTGTTGCTTTTCCCTGCTTTTAATTTATTCTCCAGCAAGGTTTGGGAGGAAGCAGCGAGCGCTGGGACGAGTCCCCCAAGCCGCCGAAGCCGGTTGTTGTCTCCCGTGTACATAACCTTTTTAAGTATAAGCAAAGAATAAAATAATGTCCACTTTTGTATTTTTGGCTCCAGAGAGGGAGTAATATTTTATACATTTTTCTGTACCTGTAAGCAGTAGTTTTGTACGAGATTTCTGCCTTGTCCCCTTGCTTCCCACCGGGCTGTGTTCCTCGTAGGCTGGTTTGTATCCCTTCCTTTCCTATCCCCTTGTTTTATACCGAGCCGATTTACTACCTTTTTCTATCTTTTACTGCAAGTAAAGATCTGAGGGAAAAAAAAAAAAACAAGGGTAAACTGTATCTCTTATTTTTTGTAAGGATTCACTGTTAAATAAAACGAGCTGTACGACCCGCTCCCTGCTCGCCCGGGGCCTGTCTTTGCTGGCAATCCGCGCGTGCGGAGGGAAGAGCTGTTCCCTCATTCCCGCTGTGCTGGAGCTAAATGGCTCCCGGGCTGGGGCTGTCGGAACAGAGGCAGTTCAGGTGGGAAACGCGAGCACGAGAAGAATGTGGTGGAGGGAAAAGCCTCTTTTCTCCCCCTGCAAGCCCGCGTTGAAGGGCCTCGAGGCTCGTGCGCTGTCGCCCTCGCCGTGCTGTTAAGATCCTAATTTTGGATCTCAGCGATGCCCCTTGGGCCCTGCTCCCGCCCGGCCCTGGGCAGCCGCGGAGCTTCCCGAGCCGCTCCGGAGCCGGGGTCTGAAAGGGGCCCTTGCGCGGCCGCGAGCGGATCAACAGCCGCCTGTTTGCCTTGGCCGCGGCCGGGCCGAGCGGGGCCTCAAAGGCGGCTTGTGCCTCGTGGCCACCCGCCGCCGGGGCGCCCGCCAGAAATGCATTCACGTTTATTCCTGCCCTCCTCCCCGGCTTATTAATAGAATAAATCACGGAGCTCGCCCGGCCCAGTCTGGGGATTTTCAGGTCATATTGACTTTTTTCCTGCTTCCTGTGTCCTTCTTCCTAGACAGGAGCGAGGGGGTTGCTTGACGCTCCCAAGGAGCGCGGTTCTTCGCCGCGCTGCCGCTCCTCGCACACATGGCTCTGTAAATACCCGTCCCGCTGTCGCGCAGTCCCGGCGCTCAATGCCCCTTTCAGCCTGTGCCTTGCGCCTGGAGAGCGGGAATTTTCTCCCCGCCTTCACCCGCATGGAGGCTTGGGCGTCTTCAGGAGCCTCTTGCCAGGTCCCCGTGGCCCCACGCTGGGCTCTGGGGTGGCTTCTTGCTCCGAGTTTTCCCCCTTTCCAGGTTGTCCGGGAGCTCCCGCTGCCCCCAAGTCACTGGTGGTTGTTGTCGGAGGGCGGCCGACGGCCGTGGGCAATGGGGTGACGTGGTTGTGGTTTGGTGCCACCTCGGAGAGCTTTGTGGGGTGGGCAGTGGTGGGAGAGCAAAGCTCATGGATCCCTCCTCCCGATGGACTCCGAACACGGGTTTTCCTGGTGTCTTTTGTATCCGAAGCACCTTTAGCCAAGGAGCTGGCCCTCAACGTGGTGCCGGGGTGGCTTGGAGGCTTTGTTGACGCCACTCAAAACCCTTCCCAGGTTCCTGCTCAAGCGCCTCCACGTTGGCTTTTTCCCACACGTGCAGGATGTTCCCAATTCCCCCCCCGGGATTTTTCCCCATTTTCCTCAGTTTAGAGCCCCGCGCTGCCGTAGCTCGGCCGCGTCCGCCTGCAGAGTCTCCCGTTGGCCGCGTTGGCTCCGCTGCTTCCCAGGGCACCTTCCAGCTCCGCCACCTGCCTCCTGCCGCCTCCGGCAGCCCTGGCTCTACCTGCGCCAGGTCAATATTTAAGCAGAGGGTTCGCTGGTTGCCAAGAGCTCCGCGGCTCCACAAAACGCTGCCTTCACGGAGGACTTGGCCGCCCCCAGCCCTGGACACAAGTTGGGCCGAGCTTCTGGTTTCCTTCTCAATTTGTTTTGCAAATAGGTCGTCTCCGGCGCTCCACACGGACAGCGGCTGGGATGGGGTGGCTCTTGAGGCCACGTTGTCTCCACGTTGCTTCCTTGTGGGATCATCATCCTTTAGGGTTTCGTCAGGCGAGTGCCTCTGGATGGACAAGGGGCCTCTCCAAGGCAGGACGTTCCCCTCTCCTGGTCAACCATGGCCAAGAGTGGGAGCTCATGGGAGGTCTCATCCTTGGGGTTTCTCCCTTGGACCCTCTTCCTTCGGAAGCTCCAGCCCCACTTGAGGCTCCAGCTCCAAGCTTGGGATCTCCTGGCCCTCAGGTGGCCCCTTGAACTGAGTGGCTGAGTGGAGCCACGGGCAGTCCAGAGGTGCCACCATCCCTCCTCGGGACAGCGGGTGGTGCGATCTCCCATCCAAGGGTCATCCAACAGCTCCATCTGCGTCCCTATCCAAGACTAAGGAGTCTAGATCTTTGGCAGCTCCAAGGGCCTCCAGGGAGGCTCCTGGGATCTTGAGGTCTCCTCAACCTGTGGATGCCCAAAGCTCTGCAAGGACGAGCCCGGCCAAGCTCGTCCCGAGGCCGCTCTGCCTCCGCCGGGGCGCCCGGGCGAAGCCTCCCAACCCCTCGGCTCATTGACCTCCCTCCCAGGGCCCTTCCCATCCCTCCGTGCAAAGTCCAGGGGGATTTTCTGCAGTTAGGGGAGAAATAAACCCCTCGGCGTGGGACAAAACTGCCCTTTGTTGGCTGCGTGTTGCGATTGGCATCCGCGTTCTTGGGTAAACGTGCTTGGGAATGTCGGCTTTTCCCGGCTTTTTTTTTTTTTTTTTTCCTTTTTTCCAGGCGCTCCATCTGAGCAATGAGGCGGGATCCAGCAGCAGGACACAGCGGCCCTTGTGTGAAACCTTCCCCTCTTCCACCCCCGGGCTTTGCCCTCTGCTGCTGGAGAAACACGGAGCTTTTCCAGGTCCTGGAACGGGCCACGGGAGCCCCGAGTTTGGGAAGAGGGAAGGGAGCAGGGACGAGACCTGCAAAAAGGGACTTTGGGCCCAGAAATCGCTTACTTTTTTTTTTTTTTCCCCACCCGGGTGAAAAAGCTGCATGAAAACGCCAGGGAGCTGCTGCGGCTCCCGAATCCCCAGTGTCATTTGAGGGATGCAAAAAAAAAAAAAAGGAAAAACTGGAACAGCCCAAAACGCATCTGCAAAAGGGCCTTGGCTGCAGCGTCCCGAGGGGCTGCGACCCGGTGGCACAGGGTGACCCGCAGCAGCAACACCCCGCACGCTGCTAATTGCACCGCCTCCTAACGAAGGCTCCTCGTTAGCACCCGCCCCGGGCTGCGCTCCCGGCCTCCGGCGCAGCCCGGTCTCCGTTCGAGCCGCGGGACCCTCACGCCGGCCCCATGCAGCAACCGCACAGAAACGCTTTTTATTTATCATTTTTTTTCCCTAGTTTTTTTTTTTTCTCCTCGTTTTCTTTTCCCCCTCCCGCCTGCCGCTTTCTCGGCATCCTCGGGCCGGGGACACAGAGAGCCGCTTTGTGCGGCCGCCCCGGCCCGGCCGCTGGCTCGTGGCCACCGTAAATAGGAGCCCGCGGGGAAGCGGCGGCAGCGGGGGGGGGTCCGGCGCTCCCCGCTTGGAGGAAAAGGGGGGGCAAAAATTAAGGAAAACCCTTTTCTTTCGGATGGTCTCTCGGAGCGGGAATAACGAGCGCTCTGTGCCGGGGCCCCGTTGCGTGGAGCGCGGGAAAGGGAGCCCGGGAAAACGGAGCGCGGGAAAAGCAGTCCCCAAATCGCCGCGTTGGGCCCCGAAACTGTCCCCGGTGGTTTGTTTAGCCACAGGGTGCCCGGGTGGGTGTTTATAGCTGGGTGGCATCCTGCTCCCCCCCACCCGGCTCCGGGAACCTGCCGGCTTCGCCATTATTTGGGGTTTTGCCCTAAATTGCTAGGTTTGGGGGCGAGAATTGAGAGCATCCCCCACAAACCGCTGGTTTGGGTCACAGCCCCCAGGTCTGCAGCTCCCCCAGACGCCCCTCTCGCGCCCCGTCCTCCGCGCGGCAGGGCCTCCTTCCAGCCTCGTTAATTGGGGCTAAAGACGCGCTCATTAGCGGGGCGCCCGGCCCCGGCCCCCGCCGGCCTCACGGCACCGGCGCCGGCAGCGTCGCCCTCCCGGCGCTTTTTTAACTCTCCTCCTTTTTATCTTTTTCCCCCCTTTCGGCAGCGTTTCGGAGCCTATCCTGCGCGGCGGGACCGGGTCACGTCAGGGAACCCCAGCCCCAGCTTCATCCCTACGAGCCGCCGGAGAATCCCTAGGCTCCATTGTGCAGGGACAACCGGTTGCTCCCCATGCAGCCCAGATTCTCTGATGTCTAATATGTGCTTGAGCTCCCCCAGCTCCCCGCCACGGCCTCTCTTTGGAGGAAATTTCCCCTTCTCCACACAGTGTGTTGCTGCTCCAGGAGCCAGGGAACAGGTTGCACCCCCCATTTGCCCCCCGCATTTTCAGGAGCTGCTCCAGGATCCGGTGGGGACAAAACCTGCTTCTCCCTCCCTAAAAACCGCAGCCGCCGGGAGCCCCCTGGGGCGCTGGCAGGCGGGAGGCTCCGCGCAGGCCCCCGAATTTCCGCGCGCGGGCCCAGGCGTCCGGCTCAATGGAGCCCTTTGTGTGGCAATACCTTCCCAAAGAGTCGCCTTTTCATCGGCACCTCGGTGAGGAGGAGGAGGAGGCCGCGGCCGCCGTGCAATCACCACCGAGCGATTTGACATCATCCCGCAAAAATGCCGGCGGCGACGGCTTCCCCGGGGCCCCCTGCCCACCTTGCGGCCACGGGGACAGCAGGGACCAGGCGGGGACGAGCGGGAGGGGAACAAGAAACGGGGGGAAAAACGGGAAAAAAAAATCCCTTTTGCTCCCCACAGCTCGTGGCGCAAAGGAAATTCGGGAGCTGCTTTGGGGAAGGGGCTTGGCCGGAGCGGGAAGCGACTGGGGCCATCGCTCCGGATTCGGGTCCTCCCCAACCCAGCGGCTCCTCTGAGGCTGATTCCCGGTGTTATCCCGAGTCCCGAGAACGTGCAGGAATGGCTGCGGACAAGGCGCCTCTCTGCTCCCCTCGCCCAGGCCGGGGATATCTGCGGGAAGGTCTGAGGTCGACGAGGGCTGCCAGCAGCGAGGGATAAAATTGGCCTGGATTAAAAATAAATAAATAAAATAGAACTCTGAAAAAAATCCCTTATTAAAGGAGAATTTGCTGGGGGGGGTGGGGGTCACCCCTGCTTTCCCTGTAAAACCTCCGACAACCGAGCGTGTGTT